CATGCTTGGGACCTTAATAACTATTTGTCCTTGCACATTTGCAGATAAAGAGTTCAAAAGACTTGAAATTTTACATGTAATAATTTTATACTGTTCTTGTGATTTCTGGCAATCCTTATGATAAATGAAGTTAAAGCTTGAGAAAGGCCTTGAATCTAGTGTAATTTATTTGACTTCCAAAAATTATTCTTTCAAACTGTTATATGAAAAAACATTTGTTTGTTTGCTAAAGGAGAATTATGATGATCCATGTGCCACTGTACAGTCTTTACTGGCTGATATAGCTTGTTTATCATGCATGTTGACCTTGTTGTAAGGCATAAACGCTCCCGAATTTCTTGGCTTTGTTATACGTTGATTACCCTTTGTATATTAAGCTTGATTTCATTTAGTTGAGCTAGACTTCATTAAGGCATTTTTGTTCATTTAACTTAATTTCAACATCCTACAGCAGGGCATATAACTTTGGTAAATTGCTTTCTTATGCCACAGCAGTCTGGTAGTGCTAATGCTAATGTAGACTCTGAGGCTGCTGCTCAGAAATTGAAGGGGGATTTGCTGGCTGTGTTTAACATGCTTCCTAAGGACGTGCAGGAACTTCTTCTTATGAATCCACACAGAGCAGCTCTTCTACAAGGACCTCCTGACTGCGAGGACCTTCCAAAGGAACCTCTTGTACAGAGTGCTGTTCTGTTCTCGAGTTCACCAAGATGACATCTGGAATATTTATTATTATTAGGTCAGTCTAAACGAAGTCAATGTCCTGGCCCAGTGCTGCAGGGGAGAGGGAGATGGTGTTTTCACATTTGTATACACCCTCATTTTGTTGCTTGATATGGAGTTCTGATTTGGAACATCAGTCTTCATCTAGGTTAGTGATATCACTTGAAGGTATTTCTTCTAATATATGGCATTTTTTAACATAATACACATATCACTTTTTCCTTTTTATTGTTTTTCTCTCCAGAATACGGTGGTTCAATTCCATTGGTATCGACTACGGCAACCAAAACTTTGGGTATTCATTCTTCTTAGAATGAATTGGTCTTGGGATGGACTTTAATCTATTTCATGAAGACCAGTTGGAACACAAGGTCGTCTATTTTTGGCTCAGCTAATCGAAAGAAGGCCTGCATGTTCTGTGCAACAAGTTTCAGGTTTTCTTTTGATTCATGCATTATTTTGTTTGAAATTGTGTATGTTCCTAGAGAAGGGCTCAACTTCAACTTACAACCAAAGGGTTGTAATACAAGCTAACTTAAAAGGGTTTTAATCCTTGGACTTTCTGAGAGTGGTTCTGATAATTTGACATGTCGGATCTTTTGAATATCTTGAGTAACTGTCATCATAAATGTGGTTTAATTTGGACAGTGGTAGACAAAAAAAAAAAAAAATTTGTAGCATACCTTTTGTGGCTGGTTAATTGTGACTCAATTCACATAAAAAATTTTATTCCTGGCCTAAGATGTCTTTTTTCATTTTTCTTTTGTTGGGGTTCTTTTCTGGTTCAAAGATTTACTATTAAGCTAATTAAATCTGGAAACAAGTCACATATCAATGGTCAATTTCCCAACTGAAGAAAATATCTTCCCTTGTAGGCACCACAACGTCTGTGCAAACTGCAAAGACGTGGGTAGACCCGGTCTTGTAGATCCAATGGTTCAAATTTTGCCACATTTTCAATACTTCAATTGGTGAAATGGTGCGACAAATTTCAAACCATTGGTTCTATATATATAGACCGGGACTACTCAAGTTTTCGCCCACCCTTTCTCGTGTAGGCCCTCGTATCTCATTGATATTGTTGTTCATTAATGTTGTTCTTTCTTTCTTTTCGCTCTTCCCACAAATTTAACTTTCACTTGCTGTAATATTTGAAATTTAATAAGAATGACTGGAAATAAAAATACTGCCCACTATGGGTAAACTAATTAATTGTTGTAGCACTCAAATTCTGGAATATTTGTTCACGAGAAAACTTAAGATGTCTTTCTTGAAAGTGGATCTATGGCACTGTTGATTAGCTTTTTGAGGGTTCTATGAGGTTTGTTTCTTTCTTCTTTTTTTGTTTTTGTACTTTCTTTTTGGCTCTTGATGTTGAGAGGCGGGGAAAAAGTTAAAAAACTGTTAAATGGACCACAATTAATGTGATCTTATCCCTAGACCACTTGAATTCATGATGAAGAGTAGAGTGGCAATTGACGGGCGAAGGTGACTCATTAAGTGCCTCCTCCAGAACTATCATTTCATATTCTAATAATACAACACATCAACAGCCGGTCCTTCGCCAATTCTGTGACTTCTTGGAACATCAATGGGACCTTTGCTACATAAGACTGTGAGGGGAGGGTCTTAGGACGAACACTTCTATCTCTCTCTCTCTCTCTCTATATATATATATATATATATATATATATATTCTTTTAAAGAAGTGAGAAGGAGACGGGAGAATTAGAGCCCACAACTTTTACGTTCTGGGGTCTTAACTTTAATCACTAGATCAATGGCTTGGGTTTGGCCGGGTCTTGGGTTTGACATGCCTAGTTGAGGACCAAGTTCCTATGTAGGAAATGTCTTAAAATTTGACTACTTTAACACCATGGAAGTATGGAACACAAACTAGGAAGTACTTCTAAGTTTTTTTAGGGCATACTGCTAATAATATCAACTTAAGTAGAGAAAAATAAAAAAAAAATGAGCTTGACTAGCAATTAATATCTCTATTTGTCATTGTACTCCTATTTATCTACACAAAACGGGAACAAAAGTCATAAATGCTAAAGCATTTTCATAATTACTTGATATTCAGTAGCGATTTTTCTAACGCAGGAAACAAATCAGAAAGCGTCTATATATATATTTTAAAAAAATTGTGCATGGGATTCCTGATTTTGATCCAAAGAGAAAGAAAAATAGTCACAATATCAATAATTAGTGATGTAATGGTTAATTTTGGAAGTTGGTGTGGTAGTACGAAATGATTGATCGATCATGTTCATGTCCATGTGAAGTGTCAAAATGTTGAATCAAAGGTGAGCAACAACCACAATTGCCGAAAGTATCCGCAATAACGAGACGGTTGATAGTTACGGAGATTATTCGGGAAGCTCTCATTCGATTCTCTCTTCTTTTTTTTCTTTTTTTTTTTTTTTGAAATTTTCAGAATAATAATTAAACGGGCTGAGGTAACAACTTTTATACATTAATCCCATGACCCATTAATCCAATTGCACCACATGAATTTTTGAGGAGTACCCACTCTTTTTTTTTTTTGGTTAATGGTTCTTATACCATCCTATATTCAATTCTTTGCTGTTATATGCCGGACCTCAGTTTTTTGGTTTAAATATGATACAGTAGTGGTTGAGGTCCTTGATGTGGTCGTATTCCTTAGCATAGAAACTAGAGAAGGAGAAGAGGCCACGAATAGAAGGAACCAAAGTTCAAAAAGAGAGATCACTTTCTTCTTCCACACACAGGGACATGGGTAGTGACCCATGAGAAAGAATATTTTTGATATGTTTATTTACTACTTTGCTGAGTTCTTTGGGTAAAAATCAGCACCATTTCTCCCTCTCATATCAATCCTAGAGCGCGTAAGAAAGCTCCCCCAATAGAATAGTTAGTAGTATAAAAGACTGAAATTTGCAGATTGTCTAATTTCTGATTGTGAGTGCAAGAAGTTATCTTATCTTACAAGGTGGAAGCATGGCTAGTTTTCAAAGAAAACTTGCTACGTTGTTTGTGGACATATTTTTCAATCATATTTTTACCTCACATATATCAAATCGATACAGTAATTTTTCTATAAAAAGCCCAGAAAAATGCAATTCAAACAAGGAATAAGTTTCGTGGTTATCCAATTTTAGCTTATTTTCAAACTTTTTTTAGTGAATTGGTTAATCATTGACTTCTGGTAAATTGCTTGACGTCTACTCAAGATTGCAGATATCTGATTACACGAACAGTCCAAGAAAATATTCTCTGCAATAGTAGTGTGGCTCGAATATCAAATCATAAGTAAAACTTCAGACCAGCAAATTTTTGTTATATTCATCATATATTTATCTTAAACTAACAATAAAAACATGAATACAAAAAAAAAAAAAAAAAAAAATTTCAAAAACGCATTTCTTGATTTGAACGTAGTAGTTAATACTTAATAGCAGGAATGAGCAATCTCTTTTGCTCTATCATTTCCCTTCATTCATATCCCCTTGCCATAGGTTTTCCTTTAATGCATTCCACCTTGCAGATGAAATCCCGACTCAATTGGCGGCTATAAAATACTAATATAAATGGCTGTAGATGATCACTCCTGCCTTTGATACAAAAACACGCATTGCCACGGAGCGTTTGTCTGAAAATAGAAAGAGTTTTGGGAAAAAAAGATTCTTTGGGACCTCACCTCCCATCTAACACCAATTTCTCTACTGCTCAATCATTGCGACTAGGCAGGTAATGAGTGTAGAAAAGTCTGAAATATTTAAAGCGACAAAACATGACATTCTTTCGAATTTTAACCGTCTTGCTTGCTTGCCTGCTTCGCTCTCTTTTTCTTTTCTTCTTCTCCTTGCAATCATTACAGTCGAGAATTCTTCCAGACAATCCTTGATGAAGGCATTTTACTTTCCTGCTAATATCATGATCGGAATGCCCAAATTGTGCATGGTCTAAAAGGAGAAGAATGACATTTTGAAATGGCCTTAGTGGAGGGGATGCCAAATAATAAGTGAACTGAAGAAAACCTTTCACTTGGTTTCTTGAGAAATCTTTTTCATACTGCCCTTGATACGCATACGCTACATGAATGACAGACAATAATGTGTAAAATTCTTTCACCGGATTGAGATGTTAATGGAGCTGCAAGTAGCCTGTAGCTATTTGCGCAAGTAATTTCTTGGTAGGGCTTAAGAGAGAGCGTGAGATTCTTTTTCCGCTTGTTCTTGGATGTGCAATTTTTTGGCCATGACTTTGTATGGACATGACAAATGAACCCATCCCTTCTACCTCACAAGTGGTCCTTTTCCATTTAATACAATGGTTCCCTATTCTTATCTTGCACTCTCTTTTACTTTCTTCTCTTATCCTGCCCACCTATTTTCTTTCCTTCTCTCCAACTCCCAAAAGAACCTCAGCTGAACAAAAGCATCAAGAGGCATCCCCACCTGCATAAAACTTCCCTACTGAACTTGAAAAACTAGTAAGAAGGCACAAAAGTATTATTCAGGATCTTCAAGCAAGAGGGATAATGTCTGCTTCTTCTTCTTCTGTAGTATGGAGCAGAGAAGAAGACATAGCTTTTGAGAGCGCCATTGCCATGCACTGGACTGGGGACTCTAAGGAACAGTGGGACAAGATTGCTTCTATGGTTCCTAATAAAAGCATTGATGAGTTGAAGCAACACTATAAAACACTTGTTGAAGATGTTGAAGCAATTGAAGGTGGACTTGTGCCACTTCCCAATTACAGTGGGGAAGAAGCTTCTTCGTCGACTAAGGACCATCAAAGCTTCTCTGCCATTACAGCTACCGACAGGCGTTCTAATTTTGGTTATAGGAGTGCATTTCCAGGATTAGGTCATGATTCTAGTGGTCAGGGAGGAGGAAAAGGAGGATCCAGGTCAGAGCAAGAGCGCCGGAAAGGGATTCCTTGGACCGAAGAAGAGCATAGGTATCATCATATACATATATATCCATCTAGTCTCATTCCCAAATTCTTGGATTGCAGCCTGGATGTCTGAAATATGGACTAAGGCCTACTCTCTTTGTATTTTTTTTTTATCTCAGGTTATTTTTGCTTGGTCTAGACAAGTTTGGGAAAGGGGATTGGAGAAGCATTTCCAGAAACTTTGTCATATCCAGAACCCCAACACAGGTTGCAAGCCATGCTCAGAAATACTTCATTCGTTTGAATTCTATGAGTAGAGATAGAAGGAGATCCAGTATCCATGATATTACCAGCGTGAACAATGGAGATGTTTCTAGTCATCAGGCACCCATAACAGGCCAACAAACCAACACAACCCCATCAGCTACTGTTGCTGCTGCTCTGGGACCAGCAATGAAGCACAGGGGACAACAAACTATGCATGGATTGGGGGTATACGGCGCACCGGTAGGTCATCCGGTTGTTGCTGCTGCTGCTGCTCCTGGTCACATGGCATCTGCAGTTGGCACACCTGTATTGCTTCCTCATGGGCATCATCCCCCTTATGTTGTGCCCCTTGCATATCCAATGGCACCACCTCAGCCAATGCACCAATAACACAGTTCCTCGCATATTTGGTTTATGACTTCATTGATACGAGGAGATAAATTCTACATCACTTTTTTAACGGACGGTGGAAATGGTGGCTTTGACGACCCATAATTGTACGAGTTGGGCACAAGAAGATTCTGTTCAGCAAACTAATACCCGCATCATATTCCTCGTATGTGTTGTACATATAGGACTCGGAAAAACATTTATGTATCTGTTTGGATTGCCCTTTTTTTTTCACAAACTATTTTTGTTTGTGGAGTCTATGCTGACTCCATAAACAACTGTAAAAACAACTCCAAAAACACACTCAATTACACTAATAAAAATAAAATAAGCCCTCATCCTCTCCCTTCTTCCAAACACCACCACCACCACCACCTACCGCTAGCAGCCACCATCCCCCCTCCCCTCTATACCCTCCTCCCTCTACCCCACCTCGCCCAACCCCTCGAAAACACCTTATCCATATGGATGTTCTTTGTTTTAGTAATCTTCATTAAAGATTCTATAAACTCCAATCATTCTACATTCCAGATCTTAAGATTGGTGCAATGTACTATAATCCTACAACATAGAAGACAAAAGCAACTTCCAAACCAGAGACGGAAGTAGCAGGAAAGAGTGTAGCTCTTCTACTTTCTCCAGTGATTGCCCGGGGAATTGGGGGATATTAACAAACAGAAATGAAGAGCGAATAAACATGTAATAATCTCTCCCTCTTTCTCTGAAGACAGACGATGCCTACCCCCAGAAGAGCCTCAATCTAAGTCGCATTTAAAATGGTCAATCTCAGAGCTTTCTTCCGTCCGGGGCGACATTTTCCTTGATGCCGAAGTACATCATGTTCACAAAGGAAGCCAAAACCTATTCAGAATCTATAAAACGATATCTAGCAGAATTCCCACAACTTTGTTGGATGGAAGTTAATTTACAACAAAAGCAAGGCATGTGCTTAATGAAGGACAACGTTCAAAAAGGAAATTCATTCCAAATATAATCCTATTAATAAGAAAATTTAATGCAATAAGGTTTTGTTCCTAATACAAAATCTCGATCTGGGCATTCCATACGCTCAACAATGTTAAGTGGCATTCATGACATCGTATTAACTTTTTTTATGACAACGGTCGTAATGGAAAGCAAACAAACCTAATTTCATTCCAAATCAAAGTCTATTCCAAATTCATATTCTGAATTACATAAAATACCTCGATGATGTTGTTATAATGGCATCCTTGTTTTGCAGTATTAACATGATTAATTATTCGATGACAAAAATAGTATTGGAAAGAAAAAAAAATGAAACGCTATACATATATACACACAGAGCAGCGTAGTCAAGACATTTGTTGAGGGGGGTGTAATAATAAAAAAAAAATTCTATGATCCTTATGGGAAATTATTCCCTTAATATCTGTCTCTTAGTGATAATAGCGGTTCAAATTTTAAATGATTAAAGTTGATGTAGTCTAAGGACCCGAAACCATTTTCCAGTGGTGCAACCAACATTAAAATTTACCCAACTCAGAAACGCAAACAAAGTAATATCACTACTATTAGCTAAAGTGAACATTCCACGGTAACACCATTAACGCAGCACAACTTTCTTTTTCTTAAGATAACTTGCAACTTCAAAACAACAAAAAAGTCTCCTAGTTGTGGTTAAATACCTAATATATAAACATAGAATATGTTTGACTCATTTGTAAGCAACACTCAGCATTAAGAGGCAACACTTCGCACTTAATCAATTTTCATCCGCCGGCGACACATCATACAGCACTTGGGGCTCAAGCTTCATCAGTTATGTCGTCTACGTCTAGCATCCCTGAATCAAAAGCAAGTTAGATACCCAACCAAGGTCACGCTGCAAGCCATTAATTCCAGGAGTTCGAAACAGCTAGATTAGAATAACATGGAAAATGTTGTTGGAAGTTAAAAAGAAGAAGAAGGAGAAAGAAGCGCAACAACAATGAATCAGTAAGCATAGAACATCTATTACGGCCGTCTAGTAAGGAGCCGCTTGGTTCATGTCTAGGAACAGAAGTGGAATCCAAATCAAATTACCTATGGAATCATTGCAATAACAATTGTTTTGGTTACCACATTTTCCGGAGTGGGAATCAAACTAGATTTCCTTTTTTTTTAACAATTTGTTTTCCCTTTCCTAGGAGTGTAAATGAGTCTAATCAACTCGAACACCCAAGTATTCAAGCTTGTTTGATTATTTTAATGAATTTGAAATTTTGTTCAAACTTGGTTTTTTTGTTTGCCGAACCAAGTTTGAATAAGCTTTTTGTCGAGTTTGAATATTATCAAACACAAAATGCTGTTCAAACTTGACTCGACTAATTGGCGAACTAAGCTCAATCAAGCTCTTATCAAGCTGAGCTTGATTCAAATATCGAGTAGTTTAGTTCATCTTTTAGCCCTGCCCTTCCCTCCTTGCGTGGTTATTAAGATACTGTTGCCTATCACCTCTAAGGGTAGCACTAAACCACATATGCACCTCTAAGGGTAGCACATCAAATGACACACATTGCCATAAGAAGCATAACAATGCCAAGCAACACTCTAAAAAGGTAAACAAAATAGTACAAGTTAAGGGCACTAGTCCAGATTTTTCTGGTTTTCTCATATGCATGAAAAAATACCTTATTTTATCAATCATCTCCAGCTGCGCTGGTTTGACAAGCCAACAACCTGATCGGTAGAAAATCACCTTTTTACCTCCATAAATCGGTGGTTGCAATACTCGACCTTCTCCTCCCACCTTACAAGTTCAAACTCCAGGTTCGTCTGTTTTGCGGTCAAATCCACAAGTTCGAAGGTTTTATCTACAGCGGTAGGGTCCTCCACCTTATCAAGCTGCCGTTCCAATTTCTTTTGCACTGCAAAGAAAAATGTGGAGATTGTCGCGCCCCATTTTTCGCGATGAAAATAAGTATTTACAAAAGATGAGATTTTTATTTAAAAATAAGTGAAAAATGACCTAGAGTGAAACTTTACAAAATACGACAGTTTGGACCTAAAATTTAGTCTAAAAGGATTTTTAAGAAATATAAGAGTCGCCACTTGATATTGAGTTTGGGTGTACCAAGTCACCCCAAAAAAATGTTTTTTCTAACAAAATTAAAATAAAAAGTAAATAAAATAAAATAAAACCCTTTTCGATAAGAAAGAATGAGTTTGGGAATCACGATTGAAAAAGGAAAGGCAAATGTTCAATCGACTCAAATCTAAGGCACCCTTTCAATCTATTCTAAACTAGTTGTGTGGTTTAATTAAAATTTCTCTAATCTAACCCTTAAATTTATTACGTTTGGATATTTCTTATATGGATGCAAAGCTAAATTCAAAGAAAATGTCGAAAGGAACAAATATCCATTCAAGATTTAATTGATATCAATCGTATTAATTGCGAAAGCCAAAATAATCCCTTGAAAGGGTCATGAGTATGCAAAAATGAAATTCAAAAGAAAAGAAAATTAAATTATATATAGATATAAGTGATCAAGGAAGAATGGATACAATATAATGGTTATGGGAGACAAAAACTCGTGACATAATTTTCTTATACAAAGATTAACCGGGTATTTAAACTAAAAGGTTATAATCACTCATTTCCCATATTTAAAGAGTAAGTCTCCTAATCTAAACAAGCAAATGAACTAACTTATTTTGCGATTTCTTAAATGAGATGTAATCCTAAATGATATGATTAACACATATAGAGGGTAGAGGATAATATAATAGAAAATATCATGCAAATGAGAAAAGATTCTAAAATAAAAATTATACGTGAAAACGTAATGAATGTCACACACAAGATGAATCTAACGCATGAACGATCTAAGGGTCTAGCGTTGGATTAACCCATTTCTAAAATTCCTTACTAACGTTGGACTAGCAAGTAAGCGAAGGAAAAAATCACAACTAGCATTAAACTAGTGTGGTGATGTCATGTATTAATAATAAATAGTAAAACAAATAAGGCATAAATTAAAACAAATAAACACATAAGAGCATGTAGCACGTAACACATAAACATAATATTTAGATGCAAAAATCCTAAGAAAAGCGGATAAAGCACATAACACTTAAGCCATGCAAATACACAAAACCTATCTATTACAGTGGAGAGTCTAACTACAATCTAAAATGGAGAAATATAATAAAATAAACCTATCTATCCTATCTATTACAATAGGGGACCTAAGTACAATCTAAAATGGAAAAATATAATAAAATAAATCTATCTATCTTACGTATTACATTTATCTATCTAGTTATAATTTCTCAAAAATATTACCTATCTATAATATCTTGAGATATTTAAATACCTCCCAAATAATTATAAAAATTAACTAAACAAATATAAGAAAATTTGAATGAACGTTTGAATCAAATAAATAACAAAGCATATAAAAATATATAAACACATAAGAACACATAGGAGCACATAAGAGCACGCAATTGGCATTGAAATGATAATAGGGGTACCTCCCTTTTGAAGTGGTAACTAAATGAAGTCAAATTGCCCTATTTTATACTTAAAATGAACAAAAGAATTATGGCACCAATTTAATTGAAAATAATAATAATACTAAAAGTACTAAATTCACATTAATACATCAAACATAAAAAAATTTAAGAACTTCTAAAAATTACAATCTGAACACATTCAAAAGTAACATAATTAGCTATTGATGAAAAGATATAATAGAGAGAGTCAAAATTCATTAGGGACTAAATTGCAAAAACAAAAAATTTTGGGGTTAAAAATATAATTTTTCAAAAGTTTAAGGGTCAAAATTTTAATTAAGATAAAGTTTAGAGACAAAAATACAATTAAATGAAGGGCCTAAGTGAAGGAAATTTAAAATTTTTTGGGCCACAGTAAAACTACTCCAAATATCAGGAGCTAAAGTGAAAATTTCATTTTTTGATTTTTGTAAGAAAAAGGGCATTGGGCCATTTATTTTTATTTGCTTGGACCGAAGTCATCCAGCCCGAAAGAAAAATGTGGGCTATCTTCATGAAACTAAAAACAAGTCCAAGTGGAGAATTATCTCAAGAGCCCGGACGACAAGCCCCAAAAATCAACTTCTAGCCCAATTGAAAATTAAGAAACAACCCCAACAAAAAAAAATGAAACAGCCCAAGTCTTCTTCTTTCTTTTTTTCTTGCTTTTCTCTTTTTTCCTTTCTTTTCTCTTTCCTTCTCTTCTTCTTCTTCTTTTTTCTTCTTCTTCCACTCCGGTAGGGCTGAAGCCTCAGCCAGGCAAATT